GGCACTTCGCCTTCGGCCCCCCCACATTGGGGAGGAGGCGACCGAGTCCGGCTGCGACGCCGCACAGCCGGGGAGCGAGGAGCCTAAAATGCTCCTCCCAGCTCCATCGGGGGTCTAGGGTCAGGCCGAGATACTTAAGGTGCATCTCGACCGGAACCCACACCCCCTCTACCCGGGCACGGAGCCCCGGCGGGGTCCTGCGTCTGGGACCGTGGAAGGCCATGGCCCTCGTCTTTTCGAGGGCCACTTCCAGTCCCAGGAGGCGGATGCGTCGGACGACCATGGAGGTGCCGACCGACGCAAGGCGGACCGCCTCCTCCCACCCTCTCGCTCTCGCCGCTACTAGGGTGTCGTCCGCAAAGCAGACGACATCCATGCGCGGCAAGAGCTCACCCCGCAGGACCCAGTTGTACCCCAGGTTCCATAGGAGGGGACCTAATACGGAACCCTGGGGTACGCCTGCCTTCACTGGCCACGATTGGACGCGGCCCTCCGCATCCTCGTACAGGACTGACCTGTCTCGCAGGTAGTCCCGGACGAGGGTGCGGAGGTAGAGTGGCACTCGATGGAACTCGAGCGCCGCCTCTATGCACTCGTGGGGGATGGTGTTGAATGCGTTCGCGATGTCCAAGGACACCGCGATCACCACCTCCCCCCGAGCTGTGGCCGCCTCAGTCCACCTCTTGAGACGGCCAACCGCGTCTATCGTGGACCGGCCGGATCGGAAGCCGAACTGGCAGTCCGCCAGGTCCGGCCCCTCACCCTCGATGTGCTCGATGATCCGGGAGGCGAGAATCTTCTCAAAAGCCTTCCCGGACTCATCGAGCAACACCACCGGCCGGTAGCCCGCTGGGGAGTCTGCCGGGCGGCCTTCCTTGCGGAGAAGGCAAAGCCGCCCCACTCTCCAGCGCCTGGGAAAGCGACCCGTCGCGATGCATGTGTCGAGCACCGCGCGGAATCGCTCTCCCAGGGGGCCCAAGGCAATGGCCATTACCTTGGCCGGGGCCCCGTCCGGCCCCGGAGCTTTATTGCGGCTCCGGAGCCGGTCCCTCACCGTGTCTAGTTCTGCATCAGACACGGGGGGACCAGCTGCCCACGCCCCCGGAGCAGAACCGGGGGGCAGCATCCTGGGGGGTTCGAAGGGCCCGGGGTCTGGAAAAAGTGTCCCCAGCACCCTTCTCACCAGCGCAGGCTCCATCTCAGACGTGGAGGGGGCCGCCGAAGCGAACTTCCCCCTCACCGTCCGGTACGGCCTCCCCCAGGGGTCGCTGTCCAGGGTGGCCACGTAGGTACCTACCTAGCTATAAAGATAAAAAAATGAACGTTTCTATCGATTCCGTTCTGCGGAATCGTGTAAAATCCCTATGAATTATGACAAATAATGATTCGTAATTGTACCTAATTGAGCACATGTTTTCTCGGAAAAAAATATTGAATTAGTACCCAGCTACTTACTTACCTACCTAAATCAAATTTGCAGGGTTAAGAGTTATATTTCTTGTTTTGACATTAGTTGACATCTTAATATATATATAAATCTCGTGTCACAATGTTTGTCCTCAATGGACTCCTAAACCACTGAACCGATTATAATAAAATTCGCACACCATGTGCAGTTCGATCCAACTTGAGAGATAGGATAGTTTAAATCTCAAATTATAGTCGCAATTTTAATTTATTGCAAATTATTACTTTTGGGCGGTACGAAGTTCGCCGAGTCAGCTAGTATATTATATGTATCGACAAGTTGTCATAATAAAAACCGACGTAACGAAGTGCGTATCGCGCGTTCGGCCCACGGGCACGTTTTTGAAGTGAAACTTTAGGCAAACTTGACTTGGGCGGTAAACTGGCGAATGTGTTACGGTTACGCGTTACGATTAGTGTCATCGGCGACTCATCGGTAAACAATGAACTATACCCGTCACAAAATACATGAATCTAGTGCTAACTTACATGTTTACTTGATGTTAACTATTGAAATATGTTATGTGAAATATGTTTTTTAATTAAATACACGACATAATTTATCAATAAACAATAAAAAAAATTGGATTTACTACTAATTCTACGTCCATTGAAATCCGCCGTATGTAATTTTTTTTCTATTAACAAATCTTCACAAGCACGCTCACTTTTTTATTTGACAGGGTGACAAACAAACTTATTGCCCGCTTGATGGTAACCGGCCACCATAGCTTATAGACGCTTGCGATTAGGGTTGCCACCTTTTTTTTGACCAAATAAAGTACATTGGATATTAAAGGTAGGTTCTTATTCCTCTTTATTAGTAAGCTTAAAAATATATTTTACGTTGCTGCTAGCAACTTTAATAAATAATTTGTGGCTACTAAAAATCTGTAGTTCTTTTCCGCAATGGGAAAGGTCATATTACAAAGCCATACAGCCACGAATGTTGCAGGAATGAGCTGAGGGCGACATTTTCATACTGTCTGTTCATTTTACAAAAATTCTTCTTATCGACCTCTTTTTGTATATTTTATGTAAAATTAATCCCCGAGTAATCAAATCACATTGAATAAAGTATCTTCGCGTACTTTATTGTTGGCATAAAGTATAGAGTACAATTACGCAAAAAAACGTACATAATCATAATCAATCATAATCAAAATCATTTATTCAGTTTAGGCTGTTACAAGCACATATGAATGTCTAGAAGCTACGCCATCGGTTCGTAAATCTACGGCGGGAGACCTTGTACTGAGAAGAACCGGCAAGAAACTCAGCAAGGGCTGTTTTTTTCTCCCTGTTTTATTATTTACAGAGTCGTTAAATTGAAAAATGACTTCAGAGGTGATTCATGAAGTCACTTTTCATTACATAATTATTAAATATACATTAATTGTTTACCTGCATTTTGATTGCTGTGTCATACAGTATAAATACAAATAGTGTTATTTATATTCAGTGTGACTAAACATTAACTTCAATATTAAGGAAGTTAGGGCAGACTCATCTCCGCTGGCAGCACCCGTTCACGAGCATGACGCATGAACCAGCCATCGCTTCGCTCAACCATATTTTAGGGAACGTAACGACCCGCCTCACACGACACCGCCGAAGAGACTATTATGAGAGCATGACTACCCATAACTACCCATACTAACTACAACATATTTACTTAAATTAAGGTCATTTACCTGTAAGAAACAACAAACAATTACAAAACAAAGCAAAGGAGAAATCACGACCACGCCGTTTTGTCAATCAAATATTCTTAAACAGTCTGGTAATCTTACTTAAGTTATTAACTTTATATACAGCTTTCAGTTTAATTATAGTATTGTCAACACATAATTCATAATTTAAATCATATAGAAATACCCGTTGGAATGGTTGGAACAGTTCATACCCAAGCATTTTTGTCTGTAATATAATCAGACACTTTATAATATGCTTTCTTAACTAGTGATTTTTTAATGGTCGATTTAAATTTAGTCATGCTTAACTCTTGAATATTGCTTGGAACTTTATTGTAAAAGCGAACACTAAGACCTCTAAACGAATTATTGATTTTGTGGAGCCTAGTAGCAGGTAAAGTTAAGTTATTTTTATTTCTAGTATTATATGTATGTATTTCACTATTTTTAGTAAACAAATTAATAATTTTTTTTTACAAATACTAAGTTGTCATATATGTATTGTGATGCAACTGTCAATATACCTATTTCTTTAAACTTATCTCTTAATGAATCCTTAACTTTAAGACTATAAATTGATCGAATAGCCCTCTTCTGCAGCACAAATATAGTTTGAATGTCGGCGGCATTTCCCCACAGTAAAATACCGTAAGACATTACACTATGAAAATAACTAAAGTAGACTAATCTGGCAGTTTCTATATCCGTTAACTGCCTGTTATTTTCATTACAGCAAATGCTGCAGAACTAAGTCTCTTCGACAATCCATCAATATGTGGGCCCCACTGCAGCTTAGAATCTAGTGTGATTCCTAAGAACACTGTGGTATCTATAGAGCTCATATGTCGATCCTTTATATTTACATTAGTTTTTACCTGTTTCAAATTTAACAAAACTTTATAATAAAGTACGGGTGGCAACCCTACTTGCGATACAAACTTTATCACTCGCGCCGTGGCCTAGCCTGACCCCATCCCCTACCCCGTGGAGCCCTGGATCCTATACTTTACATCCCCAGACGGACGCTCCTATTCGAGCGGAAAATCCGCTACCCTTCGCCCTTAACCGTTAGGGTTCCGTAGTTTCCCATCACAAAGCGTAAATATATAACTTATAAAAACTGTATTTCACGGCATATTTGAAAATCACCTGAGTGCTCGACAATGCTTTAATGTAATTTTCAATAGGATTAGGCGAAATTTTTACTTTTCCTCCTATAACTCGTAAAATTGAAACACCTACTTAGCTATGAGTATTCTTTTTAATTTCGTTGTATAGATACCTTACCCTGAATTTTGTCACATATCTAGAAACCATACATAATATTATACAGCTACTTTAATCATCATCGTCGTCAGCTTATTAATGTCTTCTCGGGGACACAGCACTACCCTATGGAATAGCAAATTAGGCAATGGGCCCATTGCGGATCGGCGGGTGCTAACGTCTGCAGATGCAGCCGGGACCAATGGTTTGACGTGCCTTCCGAAACACGGAAGAACTCGAGATAATCAATTTTTCATTATCCTAATTATAGTGAAATGTAGCGTGAGTAGTAGTGACTTCGTCAGCTTTAACGGTAGTTTTTTGGGAATCCCACATGACCCCAATATTTTTCCGAGATAGAAAGTATCCTGTGTCAATACAGGTTATAAACTTTTCATCCAAATCAGTTCACAAGATTTAGCTATGTTCAGCAGTGGGCGTCGCACGGCTGATATGGTGATGATGTAACTAAATGTAATATGATAATGCAAGTTAGATTTTGATTTAAAATTATTTATTTGAACTCTATTGGCAAAATTGCAAAAATAGACAAAAGGCGAATGGAAAATTAGTGCCAGTTTGAGTCTCACCGGGTTGCATTCTATATTAAAATTAATAAATAAACTACACACGTGACAATTAAAAACATTTATTTTTATGAAAAGTATATAAATATTTTTTCGTTTATCTGATCTTAATACTATAAAAATTTACAAAAATAGCTGCTGCTAAAACACATAAGTTATAAACGCAGGACGTATCAGTAGTAGGAAAAAATATTGAACGATTCAAAAAAGCTTTCAACAAGTCTCTTTCACACTATCCATCTTGCTGAATCCAGAATGCGGGACAGCACTATACACGTAAAAGAGATGGACATACAGGATCTCCTTTTACTGCTACTAAGCAGTAAACGAAACTGCCGCGTCTTGCGCGAACTACAAAGCCGCCGTTAAGTTTGAATCGGACTATGAAAGTACTTATAAATATGGACTTATATCTATGAAAACTAGCAGTTTTAATTAATAATATTGCACTTTAAATCGAGATTGTTCGCCATGTAAGAAATACCTACGATTAAACATCATCGCTAACAGCTTTCACGTCGTATAATCTATAAACTGTATTCAAAAAAAGTTTTAAGTATTAATAAACTAACAAAATTAAAATAAGAAATGTAGTTACACTATCATTTCTGCTGAAGTTCACAGTACATTTCCACAATACACACAAATGTGATGTAAATAGAAAATCTATTGATATAAGTTCTGAGACAAACGGAATTTTAATAATATTATTCAAAGGATAACATTGTACAGTCAGTAACATTACCAAAAAGTGTTGTTTTTTTCCAATAAGTTTAACAATGGATATGAGTAATAAAGTTCAAAGTAGATTGGATATATTTGGGAGTTCAGTTGTGGCTGTCTGTACCCTTACCAACTAGAATAAATTAAAAAGACTACAATAATTGATGCTACTAAATCTACGCGAACAAAAATTACAATATTAAAATTAACAAAGTCTAATTCATCTATCATAATACATACGTATATTATACATATACTCAATGTCGTACAATATAAAGACAGGTTATACGCCAATATTATTGCATTTTAAAATGGCACGAGTGCATATTACATTTCTCTCTTTAGCCTTCACGTGTGAACGGTGTCAGCTACTGTCAAAATAAGTAATTACTAAATTATTTATTTATTTTTACATTAATTTCCAAAAAAACTGTACTTACAAATGAAATGACACGTTTTTCTTGTCTCTAATAGTTCCATGATAATTTGTGTACTATCTTAAAACACACATAGGGGTTTCTATCTGGAAAAACGTTAAATATTTACACGTTGTAGCGAAGTGTAGCCGCGGCGAGATAGCGTGCCCTACTGAATACAAATCGGGCAATTACCTGACTTTCGTATTGCCAAATTAGAAGCGTGTATGACGTATCTTTAACTTCAGAAGATCATAGCATATACTTATTTGTATAATTTACTTATAGACATTGCAAAAACAACTTTCATCAACTATTACGTACATATAACTAAGTTAGAAAATATGCATGCATTCTTAAGTGTAGTAGGAATTTTAAGTTCTCTTTATCAGCCACTCATGTTTAGTGGCTTGCATAATCTTCACTTTTACCGGGTCGGATCCAATCCTAAGTTTTGAAAAAGAACAAGAATTATATTATTCAATAATACATCTATACAGTTATTTCTTAAAACATAATATTGCACATCCCTGTTTAGATTGAGGCGTGTTTGTAAAGCTCAACAGAGGCCAAAGCGCGAATTTTGACAGCTCCGTAATAGTATCGTGCATGGGCCTCTGCTTGCTCACATACGCTGCAGGAGTTACGGAATTCTATCCTCTTTCCTTAGCATATGATGTATAAAAAATACAGGACATTTTCAACGTAACTACTAGCATTTCATAAAAAAATTACTAACTAATTTAACTAAGAATCGGGCAGTAAATCGTTTAAATAAAAATCAATTATAGATCGATTTATCGATATGAGATATCTATAATGTAAAATATAAATGGATTTGAGATGTCGAGTCGATAAATTACTTTTATCGTATGATAATGTTGCGGCTATGAAGGCTGAGAGATAAAAATACTCAAAATACTGGCGAGTTTTTTGTTAGTACTTCGCACAACAGTCTATTTATTCAAAAACATTCGTTCATATATTTATAGGAGCTATAAGTTGTGTTCTCTCTTTGTCAGATGCCAAACAAGCGATAGAGACAAAATATAGAAATACAATCCGGAAAATTGCCGAAGTTTCTGGATAAAGAGAATGTTAAGATAAAACTTTTTAAAATGTCAATAAAGCATGCATAAGGCCAGGCAGGGTTAGGCTTACATACATACTCCGCTTCTGGTCAGAAAAATACAGGCTATAATTTAATCTGACGAATGCGTTGGAATTCTACAACAAATTGTTTTAGTTTTACTTATCTATTATAAGTATGAATGACAATAGAATCATTGAAAAATATTTACGTAGGTACAAACGCATCAAGTTATTGGAAATCCTATATCAAGCACTATAAATCTTGGTTTTAAATAACTAGATCCCTTGCTTGTGTATATTATTTAATATATAGTACATATTAAATAATACTGTAATGCTGCAACTGAATTTGAATGTTACACCCAATGACTAGGTTATAGTTTCATGATAATACATCACTGAGTTTATATTTGCTAGTAATTTAAGATGTTTAAAATTTCACACAGATAACAATAGGGACGATGACTTATTTTATTTTCTTCGCCTTTTAGGTAGATTATCAAAAAGTATTGGACACCAAAATCAAACAATTACACAGATATATTGATTTGAAATGTCGCATGACGTCACGTGTTGGTACAATTTTTACTTAGAAGTGACGTCACGAGCCCACTTACCGCTTAATCTTTGTAATTGTTTGGTTGATTGTAAAAAAAACTGTTTATTATTTTTTAATAATGTAACTGACGGACGGACTAAATATAATTTCATTTATCTCAGCCCGTCATCACCCCTTTTATTGTTGTGTGCTGCTATTTGTTAATTTGAAAGCATGTCAGTATAAGTATTAAAAACCTTTAACAAAATGGTCAAATAAATATTTTTTTACGAAAATATAATAGAAGACCTAATATTATTGTCCTGATTTCTTACTTTAATTATAATCTTTTGTTCATAGCTCTTATTCTATTTGAGGAGCTGGCGAACAAAACGGTATAACTGCGCATCTGGTCAAAATACTTTTTTTTACAGTCCTGAGGTTTTGGGCTTGCTGAATTTGAATCTTAACTTATTTTCAATCATAACCACCAAAAACAGTGTTAAAATTAATAAATTAAAAATCATGCCAAATGCTCACTGTAGGTGGGTCTTTCAGTTTTTTACTGCTCATGTAGATTTATTTAATTTTATGTAATTATACAGTTTTGTTCGCCAGATCCTCATTTTGTACACAGTACAAATCGACGTGTATTAAGCGATATGTGCTTTTGTGTTAATAAATATTTGATCAGAGTTATGTGAAGTATGTTAATGTAAAGTTTATAAAGCAAAGCAAGAAGAAACAGACTTTATACCGGTATATTGTTTTATACTTTTATGATCACTAAAATTTAAGAGTAATTAACGGGATTTTTATCAGTATACGACAGAGGTATGGAGGTTTGAGAGAAGGCTGCTATCGCTGTAGACAATAGTGTCCCAGAAATATGGACAAAATAAATGAGGCGCTGCGATCGCTAAGTTGTCTCAATAAAAGCGAGCTGTTGTGCGCTAATTTGAAATGACCAATGCCGCGAAGAAAATTTGTACATTATTCAACTAACTTCATCTACTTGTACTCATAAACAGCTAACTTCACAGATACTACTTACCGACGTCAGCGCGGCTGGTGGCTGAAAAATGAACTATAAATTCTACAAATTTTCAGGGACAAGCGGGCTAATGCTTTAGCACGTAGCGATCGTTCTCCTTCTCTCTAACCTCCATGGACAGAGGGTAAACTGATGTGTCTGCCAATAACACTTTACCCGCAATAACTTCAGTTACTCCGTGATCATGGCACTTGCAACTGTGCATAAATATCTAAGATACTTCAAAATACAAGGTATGTTCAATGTGTGGTAAACCCGCAAATTACTTTTAGTCTAACCGGTTGTTATAAACTACGAGTTAGCACATTCTTAACTAATCATCGTATGTGCTATTCCCGAGTATGACGTCTTTGACTTTGTCAGATATTTCAGGCATTGTGAGCAAGTCACCTGTACAGGTAGGATGGTCGGAATAATGGTCCCATTTCTTGATTTCATTGTAGAGAGCGTCCCCTGGACACTCTGTATCCCTGACTTGTCTATGGCCAACTAGTTTGTACTCGGAACTTATTCGGCCGAGTTTCACTCCAGCGGCGATTAACGCTTTCGCCGTTTCCAGTTGCTGCTTAGGCGGTAGTTCAGCTGAAAAAGAATGAACTATCAGTTCTGTAACATACATAGTTTATAGAAACTAACTACAGTATTCAAAGTACCAACAATACGAAATTGTACTCATTATGCATGTTCATAATAAAAAATATTAACATACTATTTATTGTTACTACCTTACTAATAATATTTATAAATGTGAAAGTGTGTATATTTGTCACTCAATCACGCAAAAAGACCAATTTTAGTACGCATATAGTTTATGAGCTGGATTGAGACATGGGATACTTTTTATTCCGGAACATGTTGGGTTATTGGGGATTCTCTATAAAACCAAAGTTAACGCAGACGAAGTCGCAGACGGCCGCTAGTTTACTATAAATGATTTGACGGGAGATCGAAGTAGCAGTGGTCAGTGAGAGTTAGCTGACATTGGCAGTGGCCGATCACAGGATTAGTGATAGTACCTACATTTGTAATTTCGAGTTTATCCATGCTTCGAGCAGTAAGGAAAGCCGTGAGTCCTGGGAAGATTTGCAATCGTTAGTATACGGTGGGTTATGGCCCGTCCGGTTTCTCTAAACATACAAGGTGTAAAAAATCCTTTAACTAAGTCGATGGCTACGTATTTTCCACATCTTGACGATCATTTTTTTCATTTGGACCATACTTGGGAAACTATGGTTATGGATATTTATACATTAATATTTTCAAAACTTTTTTTTATCGACGCGCTTACACACACGCACACACATACACACAGGCTCATTCTTCGCGTAGCAAATGGAGGTTCTCTATATCGTAATACCATTCATCACCATCAGCCTACTAATGCCCCCACTGCTGGGATACAGGCCTTTCCTATGGATGATGTTGTGGAGTATTTTTCGCTCGTTTTTTTCCGCAGCTTAAAATATGTCCAATACGATGGGAAAGGATAAAAAAAATATGGACGATTCAAAAGAGTTGTACTATATATCCAAATTGAATAAAGATAAATTGATTTTTGACTGATTTATGGATGGGGAGATTGACCAAGACCTACCACCCGGGCTCAGTGCAGATTGGTGGGTGCTAACGACTGCAGATGCAGCCGGGACAAACGGCTTAACGTGCCTTCTGAAGCACGGAGGAGTTCGTGATAGTAAATTTTTAGTCACCCATCCAATGACAGACCGCTGTGAAAGTTGCTTAACTTCAAATAGCGCAGCCGTTCGCGCTAACTAGTACGAATTAACGTTGATATTAAGGCATACGTTTTTATAATACATTAAACAAATAGGAACTTACATCTCCAGTCGCCAATGATGCAAATGCCTATGCTGACACTGTTGAAATGCAGCGCGTGCGCACCCAGAATGTCCCAGCCACGACCTTCGTAAGCCGCTCCATCGCCGCCAACGGCGTAACTATGATTTGATAAAAAAGGGGGAGAAAGTAAGAAACAGCTAAACATCTAACAGCTAAATATTGCTATATTTTAGTGGTCAATGTTTTATTATACACAACCACACAACAGACACAGACACACAGCTCGTGTGTTCTGAGTGGGGTAGGCAGAAAGAAAAAAATAAGAACTGGAAGACACACTGACACACACAATGTTAAATTATGCATGAATTCAAATTTACTGAAAATATTTATAGTTCAATGTTTATCCTTGATGGTGCAATAAATAATATAAGTATTTCATCAACTTCAAAAAGGAGGAGGTTATTACGAAATTCGGTATTTTTTATATTTAATATTATTTCAAACAATGAATCGAAAAATTCAACTACACAATTCTGCTGGCCCATATATCAAGCTCCATATTCATTCTAGCATAACCTGGGGCTTGTAATTTTTTTTTATGTAATACCTCTTATAAGAGCAGTTAAAAGTTAAAAAATATATAATAAAACCGTTACAGGGGGCCATTCGCCTAACGGGATTGCTTTGGAAAACGCTATCGTTTATGATTTCATTTTGTTATTTCTGACTGCCAAAGGTTTTCAAATACCTCGAGCTCATTTTCTTTAATATTGTTATTACCAATGCAAAAGAAAAATAAAGAGCGCGAGGCATTTGAAAACCTCAGGTGGCAAGAAATAACAAAATGAAATTGTAAGCGATAGCGTTTTCCAAAGAAATCCCGTTAGGCGAATGGCCCCCAGATTTCCATTGAACTTACTTGTATCCAATATCCCACCAGTCCCTATCATCCATATGAAAGTTTTGCATGTTCTGCATTGCTTTTATGCACTGTACTTTCGTTGTACAAGCTCCAGGTGTGTAAGAATGGTGGATCACTACGTAAGGCACAGGTGTTTTTAACGGTTGGGTCTGCTTGGCCATCCTTGCTTTCCACTCTGAACGGGTGACGAAGGGAAAATCATATGGATTCACCTCATTCTTTGACGGATGCTCTGTAACAATGTGAGTTTTTTTATACAGACTGCACTAATTTGGACAATAAGAAGTAACACTTGTAATAGATTATACTCATATCTGCTGATTAATATTAAATTTAATATCGCACATATTAATAGATTGACTGATATCAATGGGTTTAGCTCTTTCAAAAGGTGGTTTTAAGAAAGCAGGGATTACAGTTAAAGTTTTTCATCATCAGTAGCATATTACTCAGATAGTAAAAACAACATAAGTATAAGTATTATAAGATATTTAATTAATGTTTGCTCAGTGAATTCTTAAAACTCAATTATATAAACAGTGTCGATTATGTTTTCCTGTAGCTTCATTGATGAATTTATGTTCTGATAATGATAATAGGTAATAAAAAAAAATGTCGATGTGTTAAAAAGAAAAATAAATACAAATGTGGCAGTATTAGTGAGAAGATATCTTTAAATTCTCGTCATTGAGCATAAAAACAAAGTCGATGTAAAATAATTATAAATATGAGGGTCCAATAACAACAAACAATAAAAAAATTGTAAGTAAGCTGACACTGATGTCTTTTGCACACGATTGAATAAATAAACTTGCAGTACCTACCTAGCTACTACTAGCTTTTCATTAACAAATATTGGTTAATTGTGAACTCATTTAAAAACAAAAGAAGAGTTAATTATTCTCTATTTTCTCCTTACGTGCCCCTTGTTCAATGTTTGCAGTTGCACAGGTTTTATTATTTGGATTCATGTCATATTTATAATAAAAGAGCAAGATTACTAATTAAATATGTTAGAAAAAAACAAAATAAATTTAATCGATGTGCTAGGTTTTTGTTTGTTTCACATGACATTGACAGATAAATCAGCTGATCAGCTGTCATTTGTTTTTACAAATGAGCTGCGTTCAGGGTTACGCAAGGAATTTAATTACCGATATCAAGAAAAATTCCACTTGATTTATATATTTTGCAAGATTTTGAAACAAAATAATATAAAATTATAAATGCAATTACACAATAATCATTTATCTACTTTGTTACCGGTAGTTCAATATCAATGACTCTGTAGCCAACATACTGCAAAACGACAACAAAACAGTACAGTTTTGATGACATAATTATTATACCTATTTTGTCGCTTTTAACCCGAACATTTGCAGAATCATCACTTAATGAGACGCAGCCATAATCAACAAAAACATAATTGAATTGAATTCAAAGGTTGCGTCGAGTCTCGAGTGCATATCTTTAGACATGTCTAAGATGATATTTACCTCTTCGAACGTCTACGAAACCGTAGTTCCGTAACTGGTTCCAATGAAGGAATTATTTTTCCTTGAACGTAACTAGTTTCCCTTTCATAGTTAGGTAAAAATAAGTACCTAAGCATAGAGAAAGTAATCACTACGTTTTACTAGTAGGGAAAGTTAGTAGCTAGAGCAGAGGTTCCCAAAACTATTTTGTTTACCGCCCACGATAAGAATCAATTAACTAACTATATGTTTTTAAATATACACCTCGAACTTTAATTAACCTGATAAACTTTACTAGCTAATTTAGACAACGATTTATGTAAAATACCACAATAAAAATTGTTCTTTAACTATTTTTTTCGATAGATGTCTCCACGTTAACTCACAAATTTGCAATTATGACACCATAACAATTTTAATTAATATTAATTGATTCAAATAAACCTGCTTTAAGAATCAACGTACTTTAAATTAATAATAATTCCTTAATAGGTAAGTTATTTACAAGTATGCGCCGTTTTAGGTTATATTTTGTAAACGATATAAATCAGTATTTTTATATGGGGATGTAGTACGTTTACTGTTTATAACTGTTCGCACTATTCTTATTTACTCGATTTATAAATTTCTCGGGTAACTGAAAATTCACGGTGAATAAAAGAAGACTGAGTGATTGACAATCAACGCACAGCCCAAACCACTGGGTCTAGAGACTCCAGACACGTAGGTTCCTTATGAGGACTAAGGGTACACTAAGAAAAGATTTTTCAAATTTCAGGGTTTAAAATAAGGATTGAAAATATGTAGTATGAAAAATCTTATTCCTTGAGTTAATAGACTTTAATCTTGATACGATCATACTTATCTTTAAATAAATTATAAACTTTTCCAATGTTATTTTTCATAAACAACCCTAAAGGAGAGGGCCCCTTTTCTTAGAGGGTGCAGAAGGCGAGGTTTTTATATGGATGAATTTTAACACACATTTCGATTAACTCTAAACTCAATATTTATACTTGAGACCTAACATAAATAATAAACATGTACCACGGTTCTTGAATCTACCTACCCTACCTCTTTTCAGGTAGTAATTTTTTTTTTATTTTTTTTTTTTATATTTCCAACACTCACACCAATTAGCCTAACCCCAAAGTAAGCACTATAAGGCTTGTGTTATGGGATACTAGGGTAACGGATAGAATACATAAACTGTACATATATAAGTATATTTTTTTTTATATAGATATACATATTAAACATCCATGACTGGAGTACGAATGCTCGTATTCATCACACAAACATCTGTCCCCACCGGGATTTGAACCCGGGACCTCTCGAGTCGGCGACACCATGAAACCCGGCGTACAAACCACTCGACCACGGAGGTCGAATTTAACTGTGGGGTTTGATTAAATCGGAAAAGGGTTGGACGAATTTAAATAAAATTTGGCACACATATAGTTTATTACCTGAATTAAGGCAAAGGATAATTTTTATCCGAAAAAATGTAGGTTACTAAGGGATTCTCAAAAAACTAAAGTTAACGTGGATGAAGTCGCGGGCGACCGCTAGTATTTACTTAAAAATAAGTTTAAACCTAAATTTTTACTTTTTTATTTAAAACCTTCTTAAAACAAAGTTCCTTACCTAAAGTATTCGGTGGCGCAGCAAACGTAACGCCCACAAACTTTAAAAACGAAATTGTCAGCAGAAAATACATTTTCGTTACTTCACTCGGACTTTTTCACTGTAACAATATAAAAATAAAACTGATTATAAAACTTATCATTGAACGTATGGAGTGCATTATAAGATACGTGTGTCTGAAAAAGTAACGTGCTTTATTGTTATTGTTTTCCACTTATCTACAATAAATCCTTCTTCGCTATCTTGTACCTAATAATGATTCTTATCATAATAAGTAGGTATTTAGTATGGAAAGCACTTTATACATAGTTTCTTATGTAATTTACAAAAAAAAGTAATGTTAATGCCTTATAAACCAGATCTTCAGTTGATGGCAAATCCTTTTCATTGAATTGTAAATAAATATCGATGGCTCCTACGTAAAAGGGCCAAAATGCCGCTTAAGCCTTTTTCCAATTATTTGTGCAATGAGTTTATTTAGACCTAATCTATAATATAAAAAAACTAAAAAAAATTTTTTTTGGCTATTTCAAAAATAAATTTTTAGGCATATGGGCGTATACGCACTAAATAGTTGCGTATAAGGCCCGATGAAACGATCGGTCCATGTACAGCGTCGAGGAATCGCGACGGGGTGCGGTGAGCGGGCGGAGGTACCGCTTCAGTCGTTCTACTCAATGTTTGGGAACTTTCCGTCGCGACAGTGGCGCTCGTGCGTTTGTAGTGTAAATTTATATATAATTCAACTAGTTTTAACGGAAATGCTTCCAAAGAAAGGTATGCGGTTAAAAAGAGTTCAAAAAATTATAGATAAAATTATGCATCAAAACAACAGCACTGATTTAAGCTTCGAAGACGAGGTTCAAAACGAAAATAATGACACGGAATGTACAAGTAAGATACAAAGATCTATTTTGTCTTTTAATACATAAATTACATAACATCAGTGTGGTAATCAATTTTTATAGTCACAAAATATATTTTTCTAACTATAAATTTATCGAAAACCGTGTATAAAGGCGTAAAGTCACATCTGCCTTTTTACGTAGCTTAATTTATCATAAATCGTTTTCGCCCATTTTTGAATTTTAATGATTTTTGTACTTAATGGAAAATATTTTAATACTTTTTATTAGTTACAAGTATAACTATGCGTTTTACAAAATAAGGTAGTGTTCTTATTAGCTAGGTATTTATATTTACTTAATAATATGCCATGGCGTAACTGCAGGTGGGTTATTTGAATTGAAGTTATTATTTGTTATAATTATATTATACAATACCAATTTGATTTGATATATTATATTATCTTTTGTTGCAGTATCTCCTCTTCCATCTGGTGCAGAATATGCAGTTGAAGATTTATCTTTTGAAATTTTCGTTCATACAGACTTACAGCTAACAAAAACTGTTGAAGATGATGCACAGACGTCTCCTATTGATAAAACTGAATCTGTTATTTATAATACACCAATGCCGTCACCGCCAATGTCATTTTCAGCTTACTCCAACGTGGATAGTTCTTTTGAAAAGTTTCCATTTACTAATTCAGACTATTTAACATCAACGCCAGAGTTAATCGAACCTATGGATGATAACTATGAAAATCCGAGTTCTGTTAGTGATATACAATCCTCTGCATCAGTTAGTGAACCAGCTGTATATTCGTCAAGTGACGTTTTCTCACCATTTTTAAGAAATAGGAAAAAGAAATATACTAAAAGAAAAGATATTGGAAGACTCAGACAGACATATCAAAGAGAATGGATAGATATGAAACGGAAACGCTTGAAAAATTTAGGCTTGCAATACCAAAGTCGGGACGGTAAACTAAGACGTGCAAAAACACTAGATGCTTTAAAATGTTACCCAAAATGTGCATACAAGTGTTATGAAAAATTTACAGATCCTCAACGTCAAAAAATATTTGATAGATTCTGGGCTGTTGGTGACCATTCAAAACAGTGGGATATTCTAGCTAGGTATGTGCATAAAATTAATAAACGTAGAACTATCTCTGAAGACTCACGACGCACGTTTACCTATGTTTATTACCTGCCTGTTCTAGACAGTGATAACAACACTACATTTAACGTAGATAATGATCAAAAACATCGCATTTGTAAAACAACATTTTTACAAACTTTTTCTGTTAGTGAAAAAGTTGTTCGCACAGCTATAGCCAAAAATATGGGTGAACTGACAGCCTATGATCAGAGAGGACATCACATGAATCACCCTATGATGCTATGATCGAGAATGTTCTGGACCATGTAAAATCATATGTGCCGGTGGAGTCTCATTACTGTCGAAAAGATACCAGTAGACTTTATTTGGATGGGTCGCTCACGTTTAGGAGAATGTATACGATGTATAATGAATGGTTCGATTCAAATAGGTACCCATCAAAGTGTGCATCTCTGCGACAATATCGTGACATTATAAACAAAAATATTAATTTAAGTTTCCACAAACCTAAAAAAGACTTGTGCGATACATGCCACGTTTTTAAAAATACACCTGAACCGAATGAAAACTTGAAATTAGAGTACGCGACACATACAAGTAATAAAAAAATGGTTGCCTGTAAAGTCGGTTTTACGGGCGAAGATTTTACGTGACAACGTCTTTTTCTCGGTAGAATATTTATTGATATGAATATAATTAAATTGCACAATAGGAACAAGGAATTGAATGAAAATAAGAATTGCACAAATTTTAACTATAGAAATATATTTTGTTTACTAAAACATTGTACATGTAAACTTAAACTTAACACGAGAGACTCATCGTAACGTTACCGAGCGTTACACTTTTTCATAAGTGACTCCCAGCCGCAACCTAATTTAAGACGTTGTCACGTCAATAGCTCGATCATTAAAGACAGAAGATAAAAAGCAAGCTGCACTAAGCCGTGAAAAAATATTCTGTGCATGTTACGACATGCAAAAAATCTTATATTGTCCCCACGGTGATGTAAGTATATTTTATTATAAGATGAAATTAAAATTATACAATTTCACAACCTTCGATATAGATAAATTACAAGGATTTTGTTATTTATGGTTTGAGCAAGATGGGAAGAAAGGGCCAAATGAAATAGCAAGTTTTGTATATGATTTAATTGTGAAAAAATCCAAAGAAGGCTATAATAATTTCCGCTTTTGGTCTGATAGCTATTCAAGCCAGAATAGAAACAGGATAATATTTTTCATGTACTTATATACTTCTAAAAAATTTGGCGTCAATGTTAAACATACGTACTTGGAAAAAGGACACACTCAATCGGAAGTGGACAGTATTCATGCAACCATTGAAAAGGCTGCAAAAAATAAAATCATTTATACTCCAGATGAGTGGAATGCATTAATTCGGTGGTCGAAACAAACAGGTGAAGCATACACAGTTACTGATGTCACTCAAGATATGATTTTTGATTTTAAGAAGATGCAGAAATCTTCTATCTATAATTGGACTAAAGATGCAAACGGTAATCAAGTGAAATGGTCCAAAATAAAACAAGTTATAGTCTCCCACAATACACCTGATTCATTGACTTTCAAGTATGACCTGGCTAGAGATGCAACTGAACATGTCATAAATGTTAAGCCGATGCATACAACAAAAAGGCGTACTAGATACCGAAAACAAGACCACGTACCAGTAGAGCCTGGCTTAAATAGATGTTATAATGGACTGTTACCGCTTACAGAAGACAAAAAGAAAGATTTGATGTCTATGTGTAGCGCTAAAGTGATTCCAGCAGGATATCATGCATTTTTTTCTTATCTAACAGTATCATCATCAGGAGATCAAATTGAAGATTTAAGCAGTGATGAAGAATAGATTATTAAAATTATAACTAGTTGTTGATTGTGATATTCCGTAACTGTTGATCTCAATACTTTTAAGTTTTAAATTAATTTTATTATTTGTTTTAGAGCAAGCTATACTTACTCTCTATAATTAAGAACGAAACGTGGCAAATCTATGGTTCAAAATTACATAATGTCTTGTTTGTTAAAAGAATCTAATAAAACATTCAATAATTCTATGTTGATTTTGAGTTCTATTTTTGAATTATTAATGTGGTTGATTGTTTACTTTATTACTTATATTTTTATAAAAAATAATTGTACTTAATCTAGTTTATTTTGCAGGTAGAATTAAAGTGATTTTTACCTTTTTAAATAATTGGGTATGATTGTAATAAAATAATTAGTCAGGTTAATCTCATGCCAAATTGTAATTGCTCTCTTAAAAATATTTTTGATGTAAAGTCTACTAAACTTATGAATAAAACTTTTGATTTTTAGTACTGAAATATTTTATTTTTGATACCCATTTTTACATGTTAAAAAGACTTAACCATAGTTTGCACCCCGTTTATGGGCGCATGTGCTTTTAAACGAAATTACGTCATAATAGGTATTATTTTTGGTTGATCGTTATTGATTTTGGCTTCTAATAGTAACAAAGAACCCTTTAAATATAGAACAATACCGTTATAATACACAAACATAAATAATTATTGATCCTCGTATACGGGCGGAAGATCACAAAAGCCTTTTTACGTGGAATAATATAATATTAATCATAGAAAATGAACGATGTAAAATGTCGAAAGTGCAAAATCTCGAAATATATAAAAAATACATAAATAAATGTAACTATAATATAAATAAAACGACATGTCTACGCTTACTGCAAATTTTCATAAATATTGTTTTAGTAGTTTATGAGATATGATACAAAATACAGCTCTGGAACCATTAAAGTGCTCTCCTGTAAAATTTGATTTTTGCACTTAGGGCAGTTTACGTAGGAGCCATCGATATATAAATAAATATTTCCGACACTCACACCAATTAGCCTAGCCCCAAAGTAAGCACTATAAGGCTTGTGTTATGGGATGCTAGGGTAACGGATAGAATACATATACTGTACATATATAAGTATATTTATATAAAAACATATTAAACATCCATGACTGGAGTACAAATGCTCGTATTCATCACACAGACATCTGCCCCCACCGGGATTCGAACCCGGGACCTCTCGAGTCGGCGACAGCCATGAAACCCGGCGTACAAACCACTCGGCCACGGAGGTCGTCAAATTAATTAATTGTCTCTTGTATATGTCGTAGGATGATTTGATAAATCGGATTTTCGCAAAAATCCTAGGGATTT